CACAGATATCAGGGATGCGTGTAGTACACATATGTGTAGGCCAAACCCTCATAAACATGATATAATAAAGTAAATAGATATAACTTTTTTAATAAGAAAAAAAGGAAGCGCATCTCCTGTCTAAACCATTTTATTGCAACTTGACACAGGAACAGATATGTGAAGACTTAATTTACTTCTCTCTCTCTCTCTCTCTCTCTCTCTCTCTCTCTCTCTCTCTCTCTGTGTGTGTGTGTGTGTGTGTATGTGTATGTGTGTGTGTGTGTGTATGTGTATGTGTGTGTGTGTATCTGAGTATGTGCACCATGTTCATACAGGTCCCCCAAGAAAGCCAGAAGATGGTATTGGATCTTCCCAGGAAGCAGAGTTACAGGTGACAATCAGTCATCTGATGTGAGTTCTGGGAACCAGGCTCTGTAAGAGCAGCAAGTGCTCTTAACTGCTGAGCCATCCTCCTGGCCCCACGAGCAAATATCTAAGTGCAAAATTCATTCTCAAGGTTAAAGACTATGCCTACAGGTGATTTTGTAAGAATGGAAATGAAAAACACATTTCCCAGATGCAGAAAGAGCAACAGAACTCAGGATGTGACACATCAAAACCTAGAGAAATTGCCTATTCCCACAATAGCGTTTGTTATTCTTAAAGAACTGGGCAAGGTACGAAGAGAAAAACAAATAACGAAATACTTAACTGGAGTTCAAAGACAAATGCAAAATAAACAGACAAAGAGAGGAAAACAGACATAGAACTGAGACAGAGTCCCAGAGCAGATTCTTTGGAGAAAACAAACCAAACAAGTAATACAGATGAATCTCCAGCCAAACCAAGAGGAAGGGGAACAGCACAAATAGACACAATTAGACACACTGGGGAGGGTTTGGCAGAAGGTACAGAGCTGGCAGTGAAGAGGCAGATGAGTGGCCGGGGGCAGGTGCTGCACATCTGGAGGTTTCCACAGCTGCCCCTGTGGGTTCTGCCGAATGGCTTTAAGTCACAGTCAAGCATCACCGGATGACCAGCACATACTCTGTGGACTTCCTCGTGATGTAGGCATCATAGATTGTACTAACCCAAATCTAGGTGGCAGAGCCCACTGCATTCCTGAGCTCTGGGTCTAGCCTACTGCTCCCCGAGGCAAGTCTGTACAGCATGTTCCTGTAACTGAATGCCAGAGGCACTTGCTGCACAACAGTATTTGACCAGAGGAGTTTTTCCAGATCTGTTACTGATGTAGAGGAGCGCTGTCAACATCATGCAACACGTAACTGTATAAGGCAGCAGCAGGAAGGCTGGAGGGGCCCATCTCCTACTGGAGAAGGAACTGAGTTTACAAGGTGTCACGTGGCTTATTTAACATCGGAGAGTGTTAAAAGACTCTCTGGAGGCCTGGGAAGATAGCTCAGTCTGTAAAGTGCTTGCTACCCAAGCATAAGGCACCTGAGTTTTGACCCACAGCACCCATATTAAGCAAGCTGGGTGTGGCATCATAGGCCATTCAGTCCTGGGAAGAGGGACAGAAGGCACCTGAGGACTTTTCTGGCTAGTCAAGCTGAACTACCAGGTTCAGTGTGCCTTAAAAAAGTGTTACTAGTAATTCTACTGTTTTTTTTTTCTTTTTTTAGAGAGGGAGAGAGGGAGGGAGGGAGGGAGGGAGGGAGGGAGGGAGGGAGGGAGGGAGAGAGAGAGAGAGAGAGAGAGAGAGAGAGAGAGAGAGAGAGAGAGACTGACCTTCATATAACTCAGGTTGACCTTGAACTTCTGATTCACCCTGCCACCACCAGCCCAGTGCTGGGATTACAGGCCCATACCAACACATCTAGTATGTGAGGCATTGGGGAAGGAACCAGGCACTAGTGCATGCTAAGCAACTCATCTGATTATCATATCCAGGTCTCTTATGTCTTTTCATTGTCTTTCTCTTTGCTTGGGTTAAATGCATAGCTCTTGTTAAATTTCTCCCAGGAAAACGCTTTCAGTCAACAACTGTTTTAAGCAAACAATTGTCTTTTTGTTGTTGTCATTTAAAATTGTTTGAGTAGAGCAGGCAGGCACTACCCAGGCAGAAGGCTGTCCATGAGTGTGTGTGTGTGCTGAGCTAAATGCTCACATAGCAAAACTAGAGATGCAGAAAAACAATCAGCTTTGTTTCTGAAAACGGACTTAAATTCCTCATGCAGTTTAATTGGCCTGGGAAAGAAAGGAGTAGGGGAGTTAGAAGGAGGGCAGTTCCTGCATGGTCCTACCTTTATAGACTGTCACAAGATAGCAGCTTGGGGGGGGCATACCTGGTGCAGAGCTACTATCTCCTCATGAAGGAAACTCAGAAATTAGGAGTCCCAGAGGCAGAAGGGGAAAAACAAACAAACAAAAAACACCCAAAACTTCCTTTCTGAAATAAAGTTGCTTTACTTACCAAAAAAAAAAAAAAAAAAAAAAGCACCCAAAACAATCAAGGCTAGATGTGACCTGGGGCTGGAATGCATTGTATCTGTGGGGAGGAGACACTGGAGGAAGATGCCAGGAGCCTAAGGTGCAAGCAGGAAGCCAGTAAGATGCCTCAAAGAGAGATGGGGCTAGACTTGCTCTTGGGGTGGTGGGGTGCTGTTCAGAATGGCTACTCTGCAGGGGAGAAGCCTGGAAAGCATCACCAGCAAAAGAAGCCTGCTCTGTGGCCACCATGAGATCACGAACAGTCTGAGAGAGACTAAGGATGGTTCTCACAAAAGAAGCCATACTTTCCAGGATCTACGATTCCTGTGCTTGTGTGTTCAGCTCAGGGCCTGGCATCCAGTCAGAACCAGGCAGTAGTAACTATTCTTGTTATAATTAATATTACTATGCTCTCTCCTGCCTCACTCCTACCAGGGATCATGGACTTGCAGAGGAAGGATCCATGAAGATAGGACAAGGGACGAGGCAGGGGAAGGTATCCAAAACACGATGAAAGGGAGAAAGGACTTCGAGACTTGTCATAGCACACTAGTGCTTCCTCACTAGGCATCTCCTTCCTCCCATTATGTCACTCAGGTTAATTTAGTCACAGTGTGCCTTGGCCCCTGTTCTGCAAAGATATGAACTTATGGAAAAGTGAGCCAAGGCCGTCTTTTGATTCAGGCTGGTAGATGACAAAGCCTCAAGACTGGGCTTTTTCACTCATATACGTTTGTGTGTGTGTGTGTGTGTGTGTGTGTGTGTGTGTGAGAGAGAGAGAGAGAGAGAGAGAGAATTAATGTAGCCAAGCTATTTCAGTAAACTTTTCCCAAACACCAATTTCCTAGACGTCAGTCTACCAATTCTTCCCATGGAGTCAGCCTCTGGTCCTCAGTAGTGATCTGAGGACAGCCTTGACTTGTGATCATTATTTTAGAAGTATGGTGAGGGCTTTTCGGGGGGAGGGAGTTTTGAGGTAAGGCTTCTCTGTATACCTCTGTCTGTCCTGGAATTCTCTCTGTAGACCAGGCTGGCCTCAAACTCACAGAGATTTGCCTGCCTCTGCCTCTCAAGTGCTGGGATTAAAGGTGTGTGCCACCACCCAGCTAAGTATGGTGTTTTTAACCACTTCTGAACTGTGCTTTGCTTAATACCAGCCCCCAACACACTTCTGTCCATGTCACCTCTCTCATTATGCGGTCTTTGACTTGTTGTTGTGAGTAATTTCTTGTTCAAGATTTATCTCCGCTCGGCCATGAGTTCCACAAAAACACACCTGTCATCTTTCTTGATGCTTCCCCTAGGGACTAGAATATTCTGTCCATTTGAGTAAGAACCTGAGATAAATCAATACAGGGCAGGGACTAGGAAGCTATAAGGTGGACAATGGGGGTGTATGGGCTGGATGATGTGTTCTCTTTCTTGAGAAGTCAATCTGATTTGTCTTTTCTTTCAGTTGGAACTGAAGAAGTCCCAAGAGAGACAATTTAGAGAGGAGATAATTTATCTTTAAGAACTAAGAACAGTTCCAATCACCACTTCCCCCAAAGCAATGGCTGGGAAGCTAGGTTAGACCATTGACTCTTTTATTCAGGTGACTGCAAAGTGGTCCCCCACGGGGCCGACCCACTTCCCCGTTGGAAATATTGGATGGGGATGCTTTGTTCTGGCATTAGAATGAAGCAAAGCAAAAACTCCTGAAGAAATAAAACATTGTTAGTGACTGTGGACAGGCTGGGGAGGCACTGTCAACAAGGGCACACCTCCTTAAGGAGTCAAGATTGGACAATGGGTTGCTCAGATCTGACGCGTTAACTCCTAAGAAGGCTTTAGTGCCATGAAGCTGTGTGCCCTAGGGCAGGGGTGGTAAACTAAGGTAAAAACTGTGGCCAAGAGAGAACCATGTCTTGCTTGATATTCAGCTATTCAGTTTCAGTCTGTTTGAGTGTGTGTGTGTGTGTGTGTGTGTGTGTGTGTGTGTGTGTGCGTGTATGCTTGTGAAGGCAAATGTTAAAGCTAACTGCCTTTTTCAACAATTCTCTACTTTGCTTTTTGAAGGTTTATTGAACCCAGGGCTCACCAATTGGTTAGACACACTACCTAGTGCGTTCTAGGGATTTGCTTGTTTCTGCCTGCCCCCAGTTCTGGCCCCCTTGCCACGGGGTAACAGATACATGCTGCTTTTGCATGGGTGGTGGGGATCTGAATTCAGGCCCTTGTGCTTATACAGCAAGTACTTTATGACCGTGCATTCAGGCAGGTGTCTCACCACCCAGCCATCTCCCAGGTCCCCTTTTACTTTTTATTTTGAAGCAAGTCTTCACTAAGCTGTCCAGGCAGGCCTTCACCTTGCCATCCCCCCAGTCCCAGTCTTCCAAGTAGCCCGGATGAAAGGCCCATGCCACCAGGCCCAGCTAGTGGCTGATTTGTAAACTGAGGAGCCAAATAAGGGACACTGATGATGCCGAGCCAAGTTGTGAGTCATATTGCAATTTTAAAGGAAAACATATTCGACCCCATGTCTGACAGACCGAAGTGCATTGTCCTTTCCAAAGCAGAATCCTTACCAGCCATCCACACCAGCTTTCTGTAGTTCTGAAATCCCAAACGACAGAGATCCCATGAAGTCATTCCTGCTGGTCAAGTCCCAATCCCAGATCTCTACAGACAGTCTTCTGTCTTTGTCTGATTCCTTCAGCTGACTGGAGAGAGGGAAGGAGGTGGAGCCGGGGGAGGGAGGGAGAGAAAGAGAGAGAATCAGCTGAGGCCATCATGATTTCTCAAGCAGATGAAATGTACAAAAGGACGAGACCCTGAGGTAGATAGAAATCCTGTCACAAGCTGCAGCAGGAGTCACACTTGGTTTCTACTCCTCTGGGAGTAGGGGCTCATTCTGTTTGACAGCCCACGGCTCAGGTGGGGGACCTAAGCCAGTTCCAACAAAAGCAGGCCTATCTATGTCTGCTGTCTCTGTTTTAATTCCCATGGACAGTCACTGGGAAAAATTTCAATATCCAAGACATCTCTGGGCATGCATGTGTGTGCATTTGCACACATATGAGTTGAATGCGAAGCAGAGACTGCACAGAGAAACTTCTTGTTAGTGTCTCAGGGGAAACTGTTCTGTGGCATGGTCCTGAGAGGCTCAGGTAGTCCTTGCTTTATTCTGAAAAAGAGGCAAGACTATGAGGCTGCCCCAAGAACCAGCCTGTGGTTACAACATGACCTGTGGGATCAAACTATGTAAGGCCCCATCCTGCTCACCCTTCTATTCACCAAGGGGCCTCTTTAGCAAGCCCCATGCATAAAATAGGAGTGGATTAATCAGAGATTATTAGCCAGATTGTCTAACTAGTGCTTGATTATGTATCAAGCTCAGTTACAGATACCATCTGCTACTATTAACAACCACTGGCCCAAGCACACTGAGAAGGGGACCCTCCTACTCTTCCTCAAGATCCGAAAGTGAAGCTGATGTAGTTCTCCCAGTAGACCCAGCATCATCTAAACTCAGTCCTAGAGGTTTTGTCAATATAACCTATAGATTATGTCCCACTAATTAACCATCACCAAGCAGCACACGCCCAATCCCATCCACCAACCCACCTTCCCACACTACAAGCAGTCTCAACTGTATTAACTTTTTTTTATTTTTCTCCTAGTTCATAATACTGGAATCCAGATGGAAGAGGAAGGAAGTGGAAAGGAAGTGGGGAGGGAGGCAGAGGGAAAATGGGGGAATGCTTCAGTCCCTGGTGGCCTATATCTCAGCCTCTGTCACTCAAGCTGGGCCATGGAGATTTCCACTTACAATCTGAAGGTCTCATTCCACTCCGGGTTGAGGGAGCATTTGATGGTCTTGGTCTTCTGCTTGCTCTCACTTTTGGGATCAGGGATCAGTTTCAGTTTTACGTAAGGATCTGACAAGCCATTTGGATCCATAGGTACCAGATTTTTAGCATCTCTTACTGAAAAACAAAAATCAGTTTCAATATTAGCAATGTCCAAAATGTTTAAATACCTGTCAGCGATGCCTGTGGCACCCACAGCAGGGTCCTGGGCATCACACCTGCTTGATGGGAATTTGAATTTTATTAATATCAACAGCTAGAGCCATGCAAATGAGACAACCTGACAGGATTGTAGAATTTGTTCTATATTGGCTTTAAAAATTATTTTAAAAATATTTATTAGCATATATTAATTATATAAAATAATGTTTCCTTAGAATATCTTCATACATGTATATAACATATGTGCTGGCTAGTTTTTTGTCAACTTAAAACAAGCTAAAGTCATTTTGGAAGAAGATACCTCACATTTTATGTCAACTTGACACAAACTAAAGTCATTTTGGAGGAAGGAATCTCAATTGAGAAAATGCCCTCACCAATTGGCCTGTGGGGGCATTTTCTTGATTGGTGATTGATGAAACATCTGTATGATGGTCCGTCTCCATTGAGACATGGTTAATTGACCGGGAAGGACTGGGACATTAGTAATGTCCATTTCTGGATGCATCTGTGAGGACATTTGCATAGATGATTAGACCACGAAGGTTCTGACTGAATGAACGGTCTAATCCACCGATGCACACCAAACAGGAATGAGTTCTTAGGAGATGGTGGGATTGCAGAAAGTGGGGCCTGGTTAGAGAGTTACTCAGGGCATATCTTGAGTAACCAGATACTGTCCTGGCGACTTCCTGTAACTGCTTTGTTCTGTTTCCTGTCTGCTATGATGTGAGTTCCTACATCACCCCCTTCCACCATGATGGACTGAAACCATATGGAAAATAAACTTTTTCTCCCTAAAGCTGTTCTCTATGGCATTAGCCACAGCAATACAGAGGACTACATAAGCCTGAGCAGTCAGCTACACAGACATACAGAGGATGCTGCTGCATGTAGAGAGGAAATGGACCAAAGAAGTGGTGTGCCACGAGCGCAGACATTTCTTTAGAGATAGTGGAACTCACTAGATAAACAGATAACAGCTGCAATGCTGTAAATGTGAAGTACAGGGAACTGTGTGTTTTAAAGAGTGGAGGGTTACTTTATGCAAATGTCACCTTCATGCAAAAAGAAAAGGATCAAAAGGAAAGAGAGTTGCCATCTTAATGAGGGCATACGTGCTATCCATATGTCACATATTAGCAACACCGGGAAAGTCCACAGAGAAAATGCTGGGAAAATATCGACAGTATTATAGCTAGGCTCCACCTAAGATTAAGGCCTCCTGCATGAAGGCTTAGGATCTGCTTAGAGAAAGAAAGGGAGTGAGGGTTGAGCACTGAAGATGCTGTGGGCCAGAGAGAAGACAAGCGAGAAGGAAGGGTCTACTTGGAGAACTGGAAAAGCTGATTAACATCAGTTTAAAGGGTAGAAACATGGGTAGCCAAGAAACCCAGAAAATGTGGCTTGCGTGGAACATAAGACAGAGTGTTGAAGAACTTAAAGACAGTGTTGACCATCTCAGTCAAGAAAATCCAAGGTAATATATTCAGTCTAAAAATGAATGAAGCTAACTGCTTGAATGTATGACTCCTATTGGAAGTACAAAGATGGGTTCAACATTCTGGTAAATCTATTATTAATATATTCATCAATTTATAAGTGAAAGAAGAAACCACAAAGTCACTGGAGTTATCTGGAAATAGCAGGAAAATCTCTTGACAGGGTCAGAACTAGCTGAAATAATAGCACCATGGTTTGCAACAAAAGCAATCCCAGGAGGCAGGCCTGAGATGGTGATGCCCGTTCCCATGACCACTACTCCACACTTTCCCTCAGTGTTGCACAGATGCAACAACACATGAAAAACAAGACTTCTGCAGGCTCTAGACAACAAGAACAGCAAATAAGAAAGTGAATGACTGGAACACAGTGGGCAAACCCTACCCCCTTCACTTCCTACAATGTTCCCTTCCACCCAATCACAGGTCTTCTCCACAGAGCGTACAGGTCACAGACCACAGTCTTACATGACCACATTGTTTCCATTTCATGAATTCTGTTACCCCTGGCAACAAGTCTTCTCTCACCACAACTCACTGGACCAGACACATAGTCTCTGAGCCCCTATTCCCTCCTGCTTCCACTCTATTTATGGGGCTTGGATCTTAGGGTTCAGTGGACTGGTTCCCTAGAAAACACTCAGTTTCCTCGCCAATTTCTTTCCACTTTGCTTATCTAGCAAAATGCAAGTCATGGTTAAAATCAGATATCTTTATTTCCCTACATCCAATCATATGACCACTGTAGGAAGAAAGAAGAAAGGGAAGAGATGGAGAGAGGGAGGAAAAGAAAAGAGGAAGGGAGGAGAGGGAGAGAAGGAGGGAAAAAGGAGGGAGGGAGGGAGGGAAGAAGAGAGGGAGAGACAGAGAGGGAGGGGGAGGGAGGGAGGAAGCCTATGTGGATATTCAGGCAGAGGAAAGGGAAGAAAAGGGAAGCAGGGAGCAGGAAAGGAGGGTGGGAGGGAAGCAGAACAGGAAGGAGGAGAGTTTTCCTAAAGTCGTATAGTCAACAGGTGTTAGGACCGAATAAATGAGTTACCAGAGATGTGGATGGACTTTCTTCTACTAAGACAAAGGTTGAATTCATTCTCCATCTCAGCCACAAGTTACTTCCCAAAAGCAAGAATTAGTCCTCTCTGGTCTTAATCCCATGAACTCAGTGAACAGGTTCCTACTACACCCTAAGCATTCTGGTATGTTCCAAGGAGACTGGGAAGAACTTAAGACACTGATCCTGTCCACAAAGAACATATGAAACCAAGTCTGTTAAAAGTATAATTAATTTCTGTATTGAAATCGAGACAGTAGCGAGGCCACATAGTGTTGTAGTTATGAAGTGGGCTCTTACTTAGCTATTACTGTAAACTTTCAACCTTGGTTTCTTGATCAATAGCATATGTTGGTTTAGCAGTAAATTTGGACAAAGACTATTTGTTGCAGAACTGAGAAAATACTCAATAAACATGAACTGTGTCATTACTGTCTCATCGCTTAGTCTGTGCCCTCTGACCACACTTGCCATTCATTCATTCATTCATTCATTCATCCATTCATTCACTTATTTATTTATTTAGCAATGCCGAGGGTTGAATTCAAGACCTCACACATATTGGACTTCTGTTTACTCTTCATTTTGAGGCAAAGGCTCAGTTTCCTAGGCTGACCTTGAACTTGTGATCTTCCTGCCTCTGCCTCCAGAATAGCAGAGATGACAGCCTGTGCCACTAGGTCTACTTTATTTCTTCGAGGGAACCATGCATTGGACCTTCCGTTTTGAAACCTCATCAAGAGGACTCTGCAAACCTCAGCACAGAGGAACTCTAAAGCTCTCCCAACCCCAATTCCTGTTCCTTTCCCCATGGACTTGATGGAGGGCTGGAGTGAGATGTGTTCGTTTGCTTTTCCAGCAAGGGTGAGATGGAGGCTGCTGGCCCACAGGGCACACATGGAGTAACACAGCTCCTGAGTGATAGATGCTTTCCCCACTGAGCACAATCCCCAACTGTTATTTTCTCTCATTTCTCAAGTCTTCCAAGGAAAATAGCATGTGTTTCTAGTCTGGGAATGACACTTTGCTCACACAGTGATCTGCATAAAAACATGAACTGAGTTGTTCTGAGGAGGCCATAAGCTTGTCTGTCTGGATGATTGGCAAGACACATGCATGTAGAAATGGTTCATTTTTCTTCTCTTTGGGAAGGCCACTTCCCCTGGCTCCTTGTTGTATAGACTGACACCAATGGCAGTCACTGGGAAACAGTCCTCTGTCTTAAGTTTAGGATTCTCACCCAATGCTTTCTCTCTGCTGGAGTGTGGTGTGCAGTGTACTGAAGTCTTCCTTCATTCTCTGCCCTCCGCCTCATTGCAAACATTCCTCATTCCAGTATGATTCCTCTTCTGCCAGCCATCCTTCTCAAACTCTCTCCCTCTTCTGCCCTCTTGAGTCTATCCTGTCTATCAAAGCAGCTAAAATTCTCTGGGACTGAGTAGCGTAGAATTGATTTCAGAGCTGTTGGCTTGCACATCTCCAGGAATATGGCTACTTTGAAACCACTGGATCATGAGCAGTTGACAGGTGCTCCAGGCTTAGATCCAAAGGTCTGTCCCCTCAGAAGCTTTTCAGAGTCAACTCATGTTTCCCAGCAGTGAGAAGACCGAATATGCGTTAAGGAAGCAAATCTCTCTAGACCACACTTGGCGAGACCAACTTTGATTTTCTTGATAAATGTTTCTTTACTATCTTTGCTGAAATCCAGCCAGTGCAGATGGTACGATATGCTTCACACAAAGCAGAAACAGCACCCATCTCCCTGGCGGAAGTTTGCTAAATGCACAGGAGAAGATCACACTGAGCCAGAAAACACTTGTTTTGACCATGGAGCTAGGTGGATCAAATCAACACCAGCAGGCAAATCCACTATAGTCTGGTGAAGGTTCTCTGGCACTGTGTGGGAAGATACAGCACCAACATTATTGACTTTTCTAAGAATTCTTCTTCAAGAACTTCCCTAAATGGTTTAACCCTCCTTTCCAGAAAGAAAAAAAAAATCTTTTTTTTTCTTTTCTTTCTTTTCTTTTTTTTTTTTTTTTTGGTTTTTAGAGACAGAGTTTCTCTGTGTAGTCCTGGCTGTCCTGGAACTCACTCTGTAGACTAGGCTGACCTCGAACTCAGAAATCCGCCTGCCTCTGCCTCCCAAGTGCTGGGATTAAAGGCGTGTGCCACCACTGCCCAGCAAAAAAATAAAAATAAAAAATAAAAAATAAACACTTTTAAAAAATCTAAAGAATTATTGTGTTTTATGGTCCCAGTACTGAATTTTATAAATATTGAGAGGCTTTTTAAAAAATTAAAACTCCTTTAAAAGAAATTTCCTTGATATTCTGGGTCCTCACAGGTCTTCATTATGTGCATTGAGACTGTGATTCAAACATTCAAATGGGCGGTGCTGGCAA